CACACACACACACACACACACACACACACACACACACACACACACACCCAAGATAAAAGCAGCTGGACTTTGATAAACTGAAAGCTTCCCTCTGAGTTATGACCTCTTGCAGCGCTCTGCAGTGTGGAACGGCACATTCCACAAACTGGGCCATAAATGTGGACAAGTCTGGAGTGAGTGAGTGAGTATGTGTGTATCAGCCATTGCATACACAAAGCCCTAGATGGAGTCTACCTGTTGTGAGTGCTTTATGAGATCACTGTCCACTCGGACACACTCCAGCTGCTGGGAGGTTTTTTTTGAGAGAGGGCCGCTGGGTTGAGGGCAGGGCCCCGGGGGTGAATTGGCCTGACGCCTCGAGTAGTGTTGACGTCAAAGAACAAAGCAGCGCACTTGTCTGGCCGCAACATATCTGCAACCGATAAAGTGTATTAAAATGATTTAAGCCTTCTTCAAAACGCAGAGCTTTAAGGGGGCCTTGTATAAATGTGCTCTATGACACACGTAGAGGTAAGGGGGGGGAAGCTTTATATTCTCACAGGCCATCTACCCCGCACAGGAATTTCATTCATCTAAAACATCATCCCCAGGCTCTAATTGCTTCTCTGGGCCAGTTTAATGCCCCCTCCCCTCCCCCTTGCAAGTCTTAGCCTTCTCAGGAGAGCAAACACAACCCAAGCTGACAACCAGTGCGCTTGTGGACAAACTATCATATGTCTATAGGACCACAGTACATATGATTAATATTCAGCCAGAGCAGCTGGCCCCTGACATCGCGTCCATTAGCGTGTTGATGTATGGAGCCGCAATCTCACGGCCGATTGCACCCGACACTGCAGCACAAAAACAGAACGGTCATGTGATAAGAGGGGCCCCTTACAGAGAGAGACAGACAGACAGGCGGAGAAAAAAAAAAACAGAGCGAGTACGTAGAAATGAAGACGGGGTGTACGATTCTTGTTTATTTACGAAAATGGGCTAAAACACATCCTGGCTTAGTGAACGTCAACATGCATTCCAGGTCATTCACGCAAAAATGATGCAGAAGAACCAAACACTGGCAGGGAGAGAGTTAAAGATTCTGAGAACTGTTGTGAAACACCAGCCTCGGTGCGTCTGAACAGCTCCTTCAGCATTCTTACCACATCCTGAAACTACGTCAATCGGATTGGCAATGTTCAGAAAAAGAAAATGCTTATCGGTTCAGTTAAAAATCAACAAAGTAACTCCCTCAGAAAGAAGCACTGTAGAGCGTTATCTTATCGTAAGCAGACACATCCATAGTGCGGAAGAAACGAGCCGAGATATCTCCCACCCGTATGCACATGCTTATCCTCATCTCCCGTTCCTAAACATCCGCAATCAGGAGGAGTCGATCTAGGGTCAGTGGCCAACATGCTCCTGATGATATCTCCGACTGTGATGTGATGGACTGAGCGGAAAGCAGAACAGTGGTCCCAGTCTAAGCCGCTTTACTTCTATTATCACCACAAGCCATGTGACTGCTCCAGCCTCATCAATACCCTTTATTGATTGTTGTATCTCTGATTCTTTTGTTTCTTCTTGGGCCAAATGGCATAGAAACTTTAGTTGCAGCCATGTGGAGCATCTCTGAGACGAGTGCAGCAAAGCCAAACTAACTCTGCGTACCAATGCATGCATGCATGCATGTGTGTGTTGTGTAGTTTAGATGGGAACCACATGACTCTTTGATGTGTCTTACTCTCCTCGTCCAAACTAATCCGTCTCAGTCCTGTGTTTACCCTTCACTCAGAGCAGCCAGAGGGGACCAGCATGCATCGCTGTACACAAAGAACATTCAAATCATCTTACACCTCACTTTTAGGAATTAATCAAAAAGCAACCAACACGCATTGTAATAAAATAACAATACAGGCATTGTACTAGAGAAATGAGCCCATTTATCTAATGCCGTGGCTGTTTTTTCGACGCCCCTTCAAGCAGCATATTTACACCCAACCGTAAGCATTCCACGACCACAGTGACATATTCTTCAGAGACTCCGTCGTGTCTTCTACCCTACTCTTTTGTCCTCTGTTTACTAGAGGAAATGTCTTCATCTGCGAGGGAAGAGGAGGAGGAGGGCGGGGGGGGGGGGGGGGGGGGGGGGGGAGAAGGGGGGGGGGGTTGGGGGGGGGGGGGACA